AACATATAACAGCGATGCTTATACAAATCATGTGATTTACAGGGTTTACGGATTAGATTGTTTATGTATGTCTATCTTAATTTAATTTAAACTATAATGTTTCTCAAAGGCCTCGAACTTTTTTAGACACTTTCCTCGCCTCGGACTATTTTGCATCAGCCATTACGTAGAATGCTTTTTGTTTCTTTGTTAATTTTAGAAATTTTGGTAATTTATCATAATTTAAAATTTTAAAGGGTCCCTGTTTTCGGTTCATCGTTCAAAAAATATGTAAAATAATATGTGGGGGCAATACTCATATACGTTAATGAAAACTCCCAAGTGGTCCAATCAAAATCATTAAATTCCCTTAATAAAAAACATTATTGAATCGCTGTTAAGAATCGAGAGGTTTCGATATTATCCTCCCCACCTTCTGCCCATTCAGATCCAACTAATTTCCTTCTTTTATTCTATAAAATGTATAACTATTCTAATGACCAATAGGAGTAGTTATAAATCACTAAGAGTATCATGAAAATAATTAAAAGTACGATTATCATGAGTTATAATAGAGGACTTAATTACCACAAAAATAGAAGTCACTAATGATAGAATTTTTTTTTTGGGAAATTTGCTAAATTGATTCAGTTTGAATTAGCGTTTTATAAATTAACCTTCTACCTATAATTGTTTGTTCCAATAACCTTTTATATTTCTAAATTCCAATTTTATCCTTCAAAATTAAGAAAAATTAATATTTTACTAATATAAAAATGATTTTCGTTTTTACAATTTATTTAAAATATTTACAATAAATTTTTTCTTAAAAATAAGTATACAAATCATTAAAAAAAAAACTTTGTTTCGCAAAAGAGATCTCTATTGGTAGAGAAAGGGGTAGATAGAAGGGGTAGAAAATGCATTCTGTCTGGTGTAGATGACAAAGACATTGGTAGAAATAGCATTCTGCGACTGGTAGTACTGAAGCAAATGGTAGATTGTGCAATCTGCGATATGTAGAAATTGAGCAATTAGTAGAATACTTCATTCTACCACTCGTAGATTTATTCAAATTCGTAGAACACCTAATCTACTAGTAGATTCGACCATGGTAGAAGCAAAAATAAATAATTTTCTGTCATAGTTTAAAAAAAAAAAATTGTACATGAATCTATATATCTTGTGTATTACTCTTTTGTATTTTCTTAATTTTATAAAATTATAAAAACCATTTATTTGTAATTTTTGGAATTAATCAAAGGGTAATTTAGAAAAAAGTTGGTAAAAATAAGGCAAATGTTATTTTGCAAAACACTAATTCAAACTGAGTCAATTTAGCAAATTTCCCTTTTTTTTTTTTTGTCGTCCACTAATGATAGATCATGTTTTACGTGAAAACGTAAAATGAACTAATATGGCATATAAACAGTAAAATAATTGAATTTGATATAAAATATTGCATAATAGCCATAAAAATGCTTAAAACTAATTTTCTTAAATTAACAACGTTTATTTTTTTGTAAATATATGTTTAACACGTTCGTAATATATAATAACATTTACTTTTCAAAAATGTGAAAACAAAATACTCTAATAAAAAAGATAAATGGTTAAGTATTTTCATATATATTTCAACATATATATCAACTAAATTAAGAAGATAAATTTCAAAAAATGCCATTTT